ATGTATTCTTAGATACCAAAGCATTTTCTAAAAAAATTGTATAGTGCAGATCATGGAGAAACAGAATAGGTTATTAAATTAATTGTTTTTTACTCGTATATATGATGTGATCTATTGATATTGAATTTATCAATTAAATGGTTTATATATTAAAATAGTAGTATCTGAGGAAGTCATGATTAAAACTTGTGAGTTCTCTCATGTCACTAATGTTGAATCTAGAATTTGTTAACTCACTTGGAATCATGTTGGTGCGCTTTAGCATCGATGACTGAGACTTCTCGCAGAAGTGATACATATAGGTCTTTCGGTACTGCATAGAGATGATCCTCCAGCTGATTAAGGTGCACACATTCTGTTGTTCTAGCACACGAGAGCCATTTTTATTCCTGTCATCGAGATTAGGCTAATACACATGATCAAACCGTATGTTACTTATTGCTGCAGTAGGTATGGAATCATTCCTAGGATTATACTGTGGCACGTCCATCTCATAAAGCATGGTTGTCAGAAATTACTAACTCAGATGTATGCTGAACTTCTTACATTAATTGTCGCGACAATATCCAATACATGCGGCATGGAAGTTTTAGAGAGTTTGTGACGAGAACGATCTCAAGATGATGCCAAGCAAAGATTTTTCGATTCTGTTATCTCGTATAGCAATTGAGTCGGATCGTACTAGTGTGCTACCTTTTAGTATATTTATAGCAGTTGGCACGTAGTGTACTTATGTAAGGAATTTATGTTTTTTATATACGGGTCAAACACATGCGTTTGTCGCAGGTGCAGATGTTTAAGTCTGACCTTATCGATCTTTGCTAGAGGAGACTCCTTTCGTCAAGTTTCATCTTATTTATCTGTAGTATAGTGGTATTTTATGTACGTTATTCATCATAGTGTGTTTCGCTTCGATTTTAGTTTATCCTTGGACACTATTATCATAGGGCTCTCTGGATTTTTAGTTTATACAGGGTCTCCATTATGGCCTATTTGGACTACATTAAACAGATTCAATATCTTTATATTGAGTTGTCTTGTCGTTGTTTTGTGTGGACGGTCCTTATCTCTGATATAGTATCCATCTTTCCATTCATGACTTCACGGTTTTAGGTTTATGGTGTTTCTAGACGAACAATGTATAGATTTTAATTCTGTGTGGCGCTAGATTGGTTAAGACCTTCGACTTTCTCAGTCCACTGTTTATGATAATACTTGTTAACAATATATTGGTAATATCAATTGGTAAATTGAATGGAAGTCTTTCTTGATACAAGGTAACACCAACTGTAGGCTGGATTTGTATCATGTTTGATTAGATAAAAGAGGTTTGTGATTCTTGATATGTCAATAATCGAGGAGTGAGATGATGTTTGCGCAGCTGTCTTCATTTGTCTGTTTGGATGGTTATTGTGTGAATACAACGTCAGCTCATACAATCTTCTTGCTGTGAATTCTTGTTGAGACTGAAATCCTATGATTAATCACAGAGGACCACCTCGAAGTATTATAGGATGTATTTTTAGACTGTCAATTGAAGATGTATTTGAGCACCCTAGGACAGCAAGTGGTCTAAAAGGAAGTATCATACTATGTAGAATGTTTAATATGCTAATGTGTTTCAATAATTAGACCAGACCAGCGATGGAAGCTCCTGACAATTTGCTAACTTTTGTGGCTGAACGAATAGCATTTTATTTTCATAGTTTTCTGTAAATATACAGAAGAGCTCATAGGAGCTGCTTTAGACTGGAGAAGCACAGATGGACCTTTCTCTGTTAAAGAGTCTTTTGGTTTTTTATCGTATCGGGGAAATATAGTATATATTTATCTTAGCCAGAGCTAATCTAGTACTTTTCAACTGTAAGTGTTTGTTGTATTATACCTATTTACACTGTTATGTTATACGAGTGCGCGATGTTGACTGCTTAGTGCTGAGTCTATGTGTAAAAGAAGATGTGGTGTTATTCACCATTGTCCTTATTTTTTTTAATTAATTATCATGTTTGTAATTCTTAAATACCAGGTTAATTGAGCAGTGAGTTTATGGGTGCTTATTAATAAGAGCATGGTATTATTTTAGGTGGTGTGTACTGTGTGTACTTTCCATTCCTTCCAGCATGACACTTGCTTTAGTGAGAGTCTGGAACCATTGTAATTATAGGCACGTATGTACAAAGTAGCTGTAGAGCTGTTAATCGGACTCTTTTGTTCAACAGCCACCACTTTAATAATTAGAATAGAGTATATAGCTATTTAGGTACTTGAAGCTTGCCCTGCTATGCGTCCTATGAATGCAATATATTTATTATATATGATACGGTAGTACGTTCATAACATTTCTTTATATTTGGTGATTGCTATATAAGGTAGAGGGTCTACACTATCATATTTATCAACCTAACGTTTTGCGCGTACTACTTCCTTGTACATTGGTTAGATGAGAACTATGAACAATGTTCTTTTCCGCATTTCGTGATTATAAAGTCCGTAACATTCAAGCATGAAGCAGATATAATTGTCAGAATATGTTGTATGCATTATATAGCCGGACTATACATGGTCCATTCACACAATACTCTGTCTTTTCAGTTATCTTTCTTTCGCTCTCACCTCTGCTAGCATTTCCTTCCTGTAACAGAATTATGTTGGTGATTAAATCTTGTTTAATCAGTATTCTTTGATTTGTTTGGTAATTTCTGATTGTCTCTTTCATGCTTGTTGTCCACTACTCATGACTCTAACCAGTTGAACAACAGTCTGTCAGATTAATTCTTTTTTTTCGCTTTCATTTTCGTTTAACATTATTGGATATTTATCACCTCTTTCTCCTCCCTGTGGATAATTATGGTGGTTGTGAGTTCTTTTCTTCACTGTGTGGGCCTTTTTGTTCCATTGTTCGGAGCGTCCTCTTACGTTATTATTCTAATATTATAAACAAAGGAAGAGGTGTGATTAACTTTATATGTTCAGATTCATGTTGAATGCTAGCTTGTGTACCATTCTGACCCATGTGACAACATAGGTCTTTGTATAACACCTCGATATAACTGTTTGGATGTGATGTGAGTCTTGACTAACGAATATAGGACTATGGTGATGCTAATAGTGTGTCGGAGGTATTAATAATGCAGAAATGGATTCTACATAAGGGTATTCAAGAGATGATAGCATGAAAAGCCTGATGGAATATTCTATTTATAATCATTGCACAATGTGATGCTGCTTACATTCCATAACTTCATGAAAGAAGCCACATTTGTTCTTGTAAGAGATTCACGTGATTATAAACAAGTCTCAATCATAGGACTGAGTGCAATATGGTTCGTTGTTGTTCTTTATTTGTATTAGTGTGTGTTAGTTGACAAAAGGTGGTACATTATGATAAATCTACGATGATATACAAGTAGTAGTTGGATTTAGAAGTTATTTTGACACTATTCTTCATTTTCTCTATGTAAGTTGCATCTAGGTTATGCTGTTTTATTAATAACCACAATAGGGACAAGATTCTTATGAGATGCTTAAAGAATCGTGGGTTTGGTGTAATGCAAGGCACTGGGCAGAATTACAGTGTTCTCAGCTGTGTGGCCCGTATCCTGCAAGGGTATTGGGTGAAGTGCTTTTGAGGAGATATGCACCAGTTGTCAGTAATAAATTAGTTGGGTATAACATGTTGTATGAGAATTGTACTTTAATTCTATTTTGTATAGGAGTTGACCAGAAGTGAAATACACGTTTAGTTGAGCTAGCGTGAGCCTGACAGTGTCACGTGTTCCAGCATGTGACTCAAGTTGCCATGTGTGGTTTTAGGAAGGATATATTGGATGTGTAAGGTGCAACAGTAATTAAATTTTCGAAGTTTCCTTAACACATGTTGCTTATAGAAACAGCACGTCTCCTGGGATAATAAAAAGTGGATCGCTGGTTGAACTGTGACTGTACGCTCTGGTCCACACGCTATCTGAATGGCATATCCTTGGATACTCACTCTGAATTTATTACTATTAAATTCCTGTCTTGGTAGCGTGGATAGTTGTCATAGAGGTACTCATTATTCACGACTGTTTTGCCATGAGTATCAGGGCTGAACAAATCCCCATCAAACCCCAAATACAAAAAGTAATTTCTATGCATGAAATCAAATTTATATTCTTCTAACCATATGTTTCACCATTTATAGAATTTCACTTAGCTTAAGAATATATCTCTTTATTGAGCTTGATAAAGGGTAACAGACTTGTGATATAAATATTCCGATAGTCCGGTTGATCGTGTTGTTTGTAAAAATGTTAATTAAGTATTGACTGTTTGGTTGGTTTATTGTCAAAAGGTGGTGATTTTGATTAAGCGTCAAGCTAAGTGGTGACTTTCTGTTCAAGGCTAGATGGGGTACATTTCTGAGGGTCGTGAGGGTTTTCCAACTAATGGCCAGCAGGAATAAGACATTCAAAATATGTATATTTTATTCATCTTTTTATTCATCAAAATAAAGACTGTTTAACATGTATAAAACTGAGAACATGTACTAATAAATAAAAGTTTTTACTCCCTGACAAAGTTTTCCTACCAGTAAATTTACATTTATGAATTTGGAATTTGGCAAGTAAAATGATAAGATAAATCGTACGAGTTCTGCACACAATCTTCAAAGAGACCAAACAATATATTTCTTCCAAAGCAAGGTATTAGCAAGGTCATTCATATTTTCCAAAAAGCACAAAGGTTTTTCCAGAAAGTCTTCACATATGGGCAATGCCAAAATAGTTGAACAAATAATAACAGTTTTGGTGACAGAAACTACAATTCACATGTCTCTTATCTTTAGCTGGCTTTTTGGTACGACAGAAATTCCACTCCAACCAGCGGGTCCTTCTCTCGCGAGATCACTGGTTGCTTAGCAACCTTCGTCAACAGCTCTATTGATGACACTAACACCAGTGCTACGATACCTATAAAGATTCACAAATTAGCTACATATCGACTTTCCAGTTAATATAATGGAAGTAAGTAACGTTTTCCCTAATAGTTTGGTCTTAAAAGGTTTACAAGGCAACTTCATTTTGACGTTAATTGAGCGTCATACTTTTAACGTAACGCTGGTTAAAGTGTAACTCGTCAGGTGTAACTATTAGCATGTTTGCTAACGTTAATTTCACTACTGCTATCTGTATTAATTTACGGTAAGATACAGCGTCAAAGACAAAGTCAAAGCTTTAGAAAGGACCAGGTCAAGAGTGAAGTACGTTAAGTACGTTAGTAAGTTAAGCAACTTCCGGTTTAATAACTTTGATATCACATTATAACTTATCTATCTGCGGGGTCTCCCTTTCAATTCAATTCAATTAAAACTTGCTTTATTTGCAATTAATGTCACGACACTAAATAAATACATTTCATAAATTAAAACAAGAAAAGAGTAGCACAAAGTTGTTGAAAACTTGCTGTCTGTGTTTGCATTATATTATTGTGTTTGTGTGTATAGAAGCAAGACATAATCGTTAAACAAATAATATATATATTTAAATAAATAGAAACAAAGGCATGAGATGAGAAAGTGTAACTCTGTCTCTACCCATCCTCTGTCACACTGAGAGCAGAGTCTCTCTTCCTCTGGCAGCCAGTTCTGTCTATGGCAAGACTGTACGTATTCAAGACTACTCTTAAATTTAAATAAAGAATTTTTATTGTGCTCAGGTAATTTGCCAGTGTGAATTCTCTTTTTAGGGTCAGATAACATTGTAATTTACTCTGTGTTTTGGCTGTTTCTTTCCAATATAATTTTTTAGCTAGCAGCCAGATCTAGACTGTTAAGCTCATTCTCACTTTCTGGCTCTGCTGTGTGTTCAGGAGACAGGACCAGCAGGAGAGGATGCATTTGAGTCCTTGGAGGAGTTCCAGATGGTCCTCAATGAGCTGGTCGGGGACAAGAGTATGGACAAGGTCCGGATGGAGTACGAGAAGTTAATCCGCGCGCTGAAGAAGTCCCGAGAGAATGAGAAGAGGCTAATGTCTAAATGCAGGGAGCTGAATGCAGAGATTGTGTCCACCTCGACTAAAGTTGCAGCCGCCCTGAAACTGTCCCAGGAAGATGAGACAACAATAGCTTCACTAAAGAGGGTACATTGCCAGAACATGAGAGGCTACAGTATAGGGTAGCATGTCTTATTTATTTGTTTGTTTATGGCCCCGAGCATGGCGATTATCTTTAAATTGATGATTGATGAAGTATGTGGTGTTCGGTATATAAAGTCATATTTTATTGTGTGATTTGGGTGATGTTTTATAATTTTTCCTCCCTCAGCTCCTCAGATTCCATTAACTCAGAAAGGTTTACTCAATGTTATTTGGTTTCACTGTAGGAGCTGGATAAAGCCTGGAAAATGGTTGACGCTGCTCATGATAAAGAGAAGAGGGACAAAGAGACCATTAGGAACTTAAACGAAGAAGTTGCCAACCTTATCAAAACGGCCGAACAACAAACTGGCTTTTCTATGAACCAAGATCAAAGGTAAACTGTTTGTCTCGTCCCCATGCTCTTACTGTTTTATTGTAGACAAAGACCAACTGTAAACTCTTTGTTTTCAGTGATCTACTAAAAATGAATGAGGAGTTAACTAAGGAGAGGGATCAGCTGCTGACAAACGTGGAGGATCTGAGAGAAAAACTGAACAAGGCCACCGCAGTCCAGCAGGATATAGAGGCCCAGCGAGACACTGCCTTAGAGAATATTTCTCAGGTAAATAAGTGGCAAATTCTCATAGACAGTAGCCTCACCTCAATTTATTTCTGATGATGTTATATTTTCAAATCTCTGATAGAGACACAAGTAGTTTCTGTCACACAGGGAATGATCTAATGAGGCTTTTATTTGTAGGGAGATTGATGTAACTGTGCCACATTCTGCAACAGTTAGGCAGACATGAAGAGAAGTAGAGGGATATCAGGTTTTTAACATTACTTATGCTTTGCAATATTTTTACCACATCAGTGAGCCTGCACATAGTTGTTATAGTTTTGTATTTTTCCTTTGTTATATTATTTAGTTATTTGAATTCAGTTTAATATCTGGAGTGGTTTTATCTGGAGTGTAAATTTAGCTTCAATTGTTTAAAATGTTTAGTTTTAGTTTAGTTCTTTTTTCTTTTAGTTTCAGAATTACGTTTTTTTTTAATCAAGGGCAAGATTTAAGAAGTTCAGAATAGGTATTACAATACAGTCTTTCAGTTTTTGAAAGTAATTGCGGTTGTGTGCTGTAGCCAATGGGAATCCTCACAAATGACCTGAAATGAAATATAGCTGTGATGCAAACTTGTTGCTGTTCTGTGTGGCTGAATCCAGCTCCAGCAGGAGCTCCAGGTACAACAGAATGAGATTTCCCGGGAGATGAGGTTGAAGGAAAAGCTGGACAAGGAGGTGAAGCAGCTGCATATTGACATGGAGGCCAAGATGGGGGACGTCAAAGCTTTGAATCTGCAGGGCCAAAGGGCCAAAGAGGAGCAGCAGAGACTGGAGCAGCAGCTGAAAGAGCTCAAGGTGAGTGGACTCTATGGTGTACTGTGGAAACCAACACCTATAATATTTATCATCTTAGCTGTAAATATAGATGATTAATGGATATATACATCTATATATACATTTAGTTTTAGAAACACATGTATTCAAAGGAACCAACATACAGGTGTGTGAGAAATTAAAAAGCCAACTAATAGTAAGGTGTTGGGCCACCACAAGCCTCCACAACAGCTAGCACCTTGCACAGAGTTGACAAGTCTATGAATGTGAACAGCATTCATTCAAAAGATATTCCCTCATTTGGTGTTTTGATGATAATGGTGGACAATGCGGGGTTGAGATCTGCTGATTGCATGGGCCCTAGGAAAAGATGCACATCATTTTCATGCTCATCAAACTATTAAATAACCTCTCATGCAATTAAATATATGTTGATTAAAGTGTAAGTCATTGTATGAATCTACAAACCAATGCGTATTTAACAAAACATCAGAAAACCTGTGTATTAAAACCAATATGCATTTAAAAACCACTCTGTATATTATTGTCACTGTATCTTTTATCATTTGGGGTAGTTAACCATAAAACCATGCACCTGTAATTGTGTGCTTAATAACATGCTGTTACTGTGCTGTAGCATGTAATGGACATCATTTCTATCATAGATCTTGAATGAGCGATCCAGCAAGGAGCTGGAGCAGATGCAAGTGAAGAACACCAAACTGCAGCAGGAGTGTGAGCAGCTCTCATCAGTCAAAGAACGTCTCGCTCTGGAAAATCAGCAGGGCGCAAATGAGCTCAAGGTGCACGTTGGTCCACACACACACGCACCCTGACCAATAGAGACACACTCATTGTGTATGTTAGCATTGTTGGTGTGTGTGCCTGTGCATGCATGATTTTGAATGTAAGTGGGATAGAGAGAGTGGTAAAGTGACAGAACTGCTAGTGAGTTCAAACTCTTGATGAGAGAGAGAGAGATGAGATAAAGCTGTCGATTGCAAAGACACACAACATCGAGTTATAAGAGCTAATATTTGTCATTTTCCTAATGACACTCTTCTTTTGGAAAACCTCCAAACTTTCTGAAACCTGTATTAGCATTAGCATTGTGCACACAGAAAGAGTACAGTATCGGGTTTGCATTCTGAGTTTGTATTGCACCCATATCTATTACTATGATACCATACATTAAGTCTCACTGTTAAAGTACTCTAAGAAAGGGTTAGGGTTAAACATCCTTCTATCTATATCTATCTACTTTTTATACATATATGTATCATCATTTTATATCATCTTTATTGTTTGCAGCCAAACAACAATTTAAAGCTGCAGGAGGTATAGTAACCTTTATAGAAATATTTTTTGTCATATTTTCTGAAA